TATTAATGGTGGCGTTAACCCTGTCACATCCAAACCTACATTATTAGGTATTGATTTCCATCGAAACCGTGCCATCGAAGCTGAGCACAGCTTCCGTGGAAATCGATGGGAGCTTCTCATGCTTCCATGGAAGTAGGATCGACTCCCATGGAAGCCGCTAAACTTCCATGGAAAGAAGCGGCATGGAAGGTATGTGTCGGATTCCGGCGCCAGCTTCCTTACGGCTCCCATGAAGTCGTATCTACTTCCATGGAAGCATGTGTAGCTCCCATCGACTTATACGGAAGCTGTGCAAAGCTTCGATGGCGCAGCTTCGATGAACGTCAACATCGACTCCCATGTCGGATTCCGGCGCCAGCTTCCGTACGGTGTGCATGGATGTTGCCGCAACTTCCATGGGGGTCGAGCAGTCGAAATGGAAGCAGCGGGTGATTGCTTCCGTGGAAGTCGCATATTCAAGTTCCACGAAAGTGTGAAGAGCTTTCATGGAAGCCATGATTTCCATGGAAGTTCGTCCGTCGAGCGCCTCCCCGAAACTGCAAGGTACTTTCTTTGAAGCACGCGATAACGTCCATAACAGCAACTTCCACTGACAGGGCTGGCAGGCAACCTCCATGGAAGCTTGAACAAGTCCAGTAAAGAAAATCCAAGCACCCGCCCCAAACGCTAAACCTATATTATCGCACAATGGTATCCTCAAGCTGGACTCGGATGATACACTTCCATGGAAGTCGCGCCATACCGCTTCCACGGAAGAAGTCAACAAATATGTTTCCATCCAGCCCGAAGGTAGGGGACTGTCATGGTAGTTGGTTGAATTGACTTCCGCCATTAGCTTCACATGCATATGGAAGCCAAAGCTTCAATGGAAGTTGCTCGTGAAATGCGTCCATGGAAGTCAAACTCAACCAACTTCCATGGAAGCTTCACACAGTTTCCCGAAAAATGCAGGATTGCAAGTTCAGGATGCATCGCCCATAAGTCCGTCATCAACGTGCCCGACCTCGTAGGTTCATTGACGGAAGCGAGGGTCCGATCACAGCGTCAAAACCACTTTCATTCCACGAGACACGTCGGGCTGCATCTAACAACAT